AGGTGGTCTCATCTGGGGCCTACGACCTGGTTTGCTTCTGACAGTGGAATTTCCTCAACAAAAACACCCTCTCCCTGTAGATAATATATAATAAAGTGTTTTGTTGAATGCAATTGGTTGCCTTACATATTTTGCATTATTGACCAACGTCTCTCTTGACTTAAACTGAGCAGCTTCAGTTATTTGTTGATATTCACTTGTTGGGGATGTTTATGTGAATGTGTCTTAACGCAACAGTACATTAGGACATGTGATATACAGTAGACTAATTATATATACTGCATAAACAGTACGTGTGTTTTGAGGTATAGTTTAGCCTGTGTTTCGGGAAGGCTAAAGGGGTAACGTTACACTAGCCATTTTAAAATAAATTACCAAGCAGTGATTATATGGATTGTATTTAGGAACAGAGTAATTCACTCAGTAGCCTAACCATCTCTGCTGTTGCATTTCAACAGATAACACTGTTAATGCTGTCTCTCTGTCCCTCCAAAGAAAACAATCACTACTGGAAGTACAGTTAACGTAGTAATCGATGCACATTATATGAAAAGTGCTGCAAATATAGTCTGCTGTTAATGTGATGTAACGTCACACCTCTTCCCTCCAAAATTAAACACAAAACGGATAATACTGCTTCTCCGACTCCCTAGAAGAAATGCTATCATATGTAAGTATAAGGATAGTAATCAAAACACATTATGCCTTAATATTTATCCGAAAACTGCTGCAAATATAGTCAATGCTGGTGTCTGTCCCACCTGAAACCATTCAAAGTGGCTGACAGCGCGGATTGGTTGGAACTACTGAGAGCTTCATGGAGCACGTGATCGCGTGGCGGCGACATCAAAGAGTGTCATAACTCTCGTATTTAAGGGCTCTGGTTGTGATCACGTTGAAAGTGACAAATTTCAAACAAGAACGCCATATTTAGTGCATTTATTCTTTTTCGACAAAGGCAAATACCACCTCAAGCAAGCGTTATTTTATTTTATTTTAATTTTTTTTTGCGAAATTAAGGATTTTTATTTGAATTTTGCAGTTTCCATCAACCTTTTCTAATGCGATACTTCAAAATGTGCGTTAAAAAACAGTGGTGGAAACACGGCTAATGTCCATCTTCTCAAGGGTCTTTTTCACAAGGTCTGAAAGTGCTATCTAGTCGATGACTCACAGTCAATGACCGCAATGAGTCTCGCCTGGACAACATCAATGACATATCGCAGAACTACTGCTAACAACTTCTATAGTTTTTTGTTTATTAGTGACTTTGTACATGTTACTTTTTCCGGCAGTGGAAGCCAGCCGCTATGTTTGTACTATATTTAAACTTCAAATAGCATGCTCAGGTTACAATGAACTAATAGCACACCACAGTGAGTTCACTGCATTTTAAATACCTCAATAAATTATTATTATTAAATCAATGAGTGTACTCGTAAACATTTTACATGTCAGCAAAGCTAAAATAAAAATAAATTTACATTGTAATTACAGACAATAAACATTTTGTATTCAGCATTTGTTGTGTTGCACAATAGCTTCATTGCACTGGCTGTCGTCACATTTTGGATCTGGCAAAATCACATATTCCCTGAAACTGCAAAAACAGCTTGAGGAAAAATGTACTACAAGTTAACTGTCACCCTACTTTGGTATTCTAACCTTACTTTATATAACTGTAAATGTTTACATACAATGTAAATAACTTTTATATTTTGTATCTTGTCATTATATAGGTTTATGTGTGTTATGCACCAAGTAACGAGAGAAAATTTCTTTTGCTCTGGTTACTTGACAGTAAAGCTGATTCTGATTAATAAAACACAAACATGTCAGTATTTTAGAGGTAGTCTTCACTGTCATCCTTACCTTTTTATATGAAAATGTGTATGTCTTCTGTCAAAACATTGTCCATTAAAGTTTTTTGTGATCTTTTACATAATATATCTGATGTCACAAATTTCGTTCTACTGTATTACTTAGCAACGTCACAAAATCATGCCAACCATGATACTGTTCCTGTACCCATCCAGGTTTGCTAGTATCACATCTATAAAAGAAATAGGTTGCTGTGTTCATGTAGAGGAAAAATGGACCCATCATTCCTTTTAGAGACACAGGATGGGAAAGTGAATTAATTCAGTGTTTTTATGGCGATATCTTGAAACTAGAAAGTCTTGTAGCTGAACAAACAGTGTGAAGATACAACTTGGAAACTCAGGAACCTGCTGCTAGATCTGCTCACATCACACTGGCTCTCACAGGGACTGCTAGAACCATTTCACTTTGAATCTGCAATATGTCACAATATTTCACACATTACATTTTGAGAACCAGAGTTTATTGTGTGTAAACAAACTATAATTGTCACGATCCTGTCCTGAGGTGTTCTGTGTTATATTATTTTGGCCATGCGTTCTCTGTGTTTTCATTTTGGTTTCTCTGTGTCTGGGTTTGGGTTTCATGTCTTAGTGTTACTCCTGGTCTGTGTACTTCTGTGTTGGTTGTTATTTTTGCCTCATGTCTGCTCTGTGTTGTGTTGACTGTTAGTTCAGTCTGTTCTCCCTGTTACGTCTGTAGTCTGTCCTCGTTATTCAGTTTATTATTCAGCTTGCCAGTCTGTCCTGTTTTTAGTTTTGCCTTGCCTATATTGTCTGCTTGTAAATTTGCTTGTGTCCCCCCCAGTAATTCCTCTGCCTGCTTGTCCGCTAAGTACTTTGAGTTCCAGTTAGTGTATGGTCTTGTGTTTTGCATCTGTTTCCCCCTGCTCTCTCTATGCCTGCCTGTGTCTCGTAAGCCTCATGTCCCTCACCTGTGTGTCTCCTCCCAGCTCGTTAACCCTGTGTATATATCCTTGCTTGTTTCCCTCAGTCTTTGTGTTAATTCTTTGGTTTTTGGATTATACTCGTTTAGGATTTTCTGTTGGATCACTTTGTTTGCTTGGACTACTATTATTTGGATTATGGACTCAGCCACTCAGTTGTAAGTGTGCTCGCCTTTTGTTTGCTTAATACATTTCTGAACTGCACCAGTCAGCCTTAGTGTTCTGCATTTGGGTCCACCAACCTGCTCCACCACCCTTCCAACCACACAAATCCTGACAATAATGACACAAGCGTTCCGTGTTCAATGTCCTCAGATTACAGTTGACACAAAACTTTAATACCGTAAAACTTTGATTAATGGCTTTTATTTGCTAAAATCACTGAATTAACCCTGCCTATATTTGGGACATGCCTTTAAAGAGGTGGTATTATGCTCATTTTCAGGTTCAAAATCTTATTTAGGGGTTTTACCAGAACAGGTTTACATGGTTTAGTTTTCAAAAAACACCATGTTTTTCTCATACTGCACATTGCTGCAGCTCCTCTTTTCACCCTATGTGTTGTACACTTCACTCTTGAGCTACAGAGTTATGCACATGAGCAGTTCCCAGGTAAGGACTACTAGTCAATCAGAAGCAGAGAAGGGCGGGTTGTAAGAAACAAGGTAGTGTGATCCAAATCAAAGCCGCTTCAGACTGCGACCGTAACCTAGCAGATGGTATAAGTTACTCACAAGTCCACAACCACACAACATCATTGTTCCACATCTTACCATGAACCACTACAAAAATCACCATATTTCATGTCAATTTTACATAAAAATTGGCCAAACAATTTGCTCAGTAGCTTTCACATCAGGTGTAACGTTAGCATTATAGTTTTAACGTTAGCTGTGTTAGCCAACGTTTTAGTGTTGTGTCGTTCAATGAACGTTTCGTTCATAAGACCTAATCGTGTATACGACTTGGGAGGAATGGGTTGTCTCAGTGAGTGAGTCGTTCATTTTCACGCATGCGTGAAGGATCTTGGACTCTTACGTTCACTCGTCACACGGCAGCTGCATGGGCTCCGTCAGCACAGGAAACAGTCTTGATTAGTTCACGACTCTCAACTGTGGGTCTCTAGGTCTGAGTCGTTCATTTGTCACGTGACAGCTACTGTGGAGCAGGAATGAACGACTCGTTCACCGCTCACATGGGTCCTCCTCAGTCTTTCGTTCATTCTACAGGCTGAGTGACTGCCAGCGCCGGAGAATGAGAGGCAGGTCGGCTGTCAGGTAACAGTCACTGGACTGACATTATATAGCTATTTTGTTAATTATGTGACATTTTATAAAGCATACCTTTATTACAGCGCAGTTATGTTGTGCTAAGTTATAGTTTTAACACAGCCGCACCGTAACTTTAGTCCTGCTAGTGTTTACAGCCAACAGCTGATGAGAGTTGTTCTGGGTCCGCTCCACTTCAGAGCCCTGACAGGGTTCTACCGGGAGCCGAATTACCTCCGAGGTTGTCTCCTCTCCAAAACAAACAGACCTGGTCATTAAAACATTAAAACACAGCCACGTAGCAACGTTAGCGTTAGCCCTGTAAACAGCTAACAGCTGATCCGGTCCGCCAGAGAACGCAACGCAACTTTTCCTTTTTATTTACCAACAGAGCCATGCTGTTCGTGTTTGAAAGCGATGTGCTCATGTGTGTTTCTCTGTCTCTGAGCAATGAGCAAGTCTAATGTTCTGAGACTATGTTCTGAATATATTTAACTGTACACAAAGGTGTTTCTATTATTAAGTCTACTATGAGCTTCACTGACATGAAATGGGGTAGACAAATAGTAGAGTAATAGAAGTCATGTTAACATAAAGTTACTACAACACCACAATGCACCAAAACAAAATGAGCACACAGTTGAATCAAAACCTCTCTAAAATAGTTTAAACCAATACTAAATATAATAACATTAATGAAGCTAATATTTAGTACAGAACTTTTTGACTGTTATCCACATAGAGTTGAACCACATAGATGGTGGGTGTGAATCACTGAAAAAAGGTACTATTTTCATCTTGGTGACTACAATTCTTCCATTTCACTGGTAGATTCATCTGTTTGTGTGGGTTCAAGTGGGTTGAAATTAAAGCATACCAGTGTAAGTGATGGTGACCAGGATATCTTTGGAGGTGATCTCCATTTATTCTGACAAAAGTTGTGATAATGTAATTTGAGCTCTTACACAAATTAAGAGACAGGAATATATTAGCGTATTACACAAGTACACATGTTTAAGCTAGCAAGTAAAAGTAATTTAACAGAAAGGCCAAACACAGACATTTCAATGACCACTATGACGTTTAATTCTCCCTTGGAGTACAATAGCAAATAGGGACACCGAACTCACGAAATGAAATGGTAAATGGACTGTACTTACATAGTGCCTTTCTAGTCTTCCGACCACTTAAAGCTCTTTACACTACATGTCACATTCACCCCATTCACACACACATTCCTGCACTGATGGCAGAGGCTACCATGCAAGGTGTCAACTGCTCATCAAAATGCAAGTAACATTCACAAACACAGCCTCGACTTTGTGGCATTTTGTGACCACCTGACAGGATCATGCATTCTGGGAACCACCCTTTCTGAAGGTTGAACAGCAGTAAAAAAAAAAATCAGTAAAAGTATACTGGAGTGGGCATAAACACAGATGTCACATCAAATGATCAATCAGACTAAGTAGTTCCATGATCTGACTAGGAACCACTTCCTGGGGACTTGTCAGGTATTTAGTTATTAATGGGGTCAGACTATACACACTATCTGGTTTTTCAGTCTTCTGGGTACCACTTGACACACATTCAGGTTAAACTTACTTTGAGAGTCACTGAACACCTACAGCTGTCATGTGCCAAGATATTTGCTGGACCATAATTTCTGCCAAAATTCAGGTTCTGTTATGTAATTGTACAACACAATTATATTATATACTGGAAAGGTTGAAAAGGTTCAAATAAATAATTAGGCCTGTAAAGTATTATTATATTATTAGTCATCATGCTGTGATAAAGTTGCTAAGTGCAACATAAGTGTCCCTCTTATTAGTGAACTGTTTCCACACTCCCTTTATCAGAAAATGTTCTCTTCTATTTCTTCAGGATATTTCAATATGAAGCCTAGTAACGCAAATTAAGGTTAGCATTTTACAGGACACAAGTCCCAACAAATAGAAACAACAAATAGACTGAATGAAAACTTTTAATTTCAACTGCTGGAATCTTAAGGCAACTCAACTCCCTTGAATGCTTACAGGCTCTGTTCACAAGCAACATCTCACCTTTTCTTAGGACTGGGTACCACCCATGTAATGTAGACAACATTCCACATTTGAGACGTCTTACTTAAATGAACATGACGGTATGATTTAAACGTGACAAAACAAGCATTACAGGTGCTAACAGAATAGTTTTAAACTTTGCCCTTGAGAGCTGTGATTCGATTTTTAATGTAGAATTTAATGGCCAGCCATGATTTGTTTTTAAGAGCTACTTTCTTCAGTTCAAGGCACTCATAACAGTCAGTTTTTCCCAGAACATGGCATGAAGTGATAACGGACACCATGTGCTTCTTGACTGCAAGAATTTCTTCTCCCACATCCTTTTCTTGAAAGTCCGGCGACCTGAACAGATATTACAAGAAACAAAGAATGTGGCACTCAAACAGTTTTGAGCAGTCAATCTTTAAAGATAATACAGTTACAAAGTTTGATATCAAACAGACAAAGGGCATATTGATCAAAATGTACTTAATTTTGAAATCTCTAAAAAGTTAACCTCTATTTATCTTAATTAAAATTAAAACAGAGGTCCACTGATTACATTTTGACTAAAATAAAGCTAAACAAAAATTTCTAATTTCTAGTAAGTGACTATGACTAAAATGAATTTAAAATTCTTGTCAAAATTAACACTGCATACCAGTTCAGATGGGATTCGGTACCTCGTTGGTTTAAATTGTTTCGATATTCAAGTCATTATAATAAGCCTCCTTTGCATGCGGTGCAGGTGGAAAATCCAAAGATTTGTGTGTCTTTTCACGACTTTATAAAATGTACTGTTGATTGAGAAAGTCAGCAGAGCATAGGGGGAGAGAAGACAGAGAGCCAGTGTGCTAACACCACACTCTGTACCTGTGCTGTAGGGTGTGACAGAGAGCACACAGGCTCCGTGAGATACCGCTTTTCTGGATTGGGAATAGCGAGATGCATCATGAACGACTATCTTATTATTAGAGACACGGTTAGTGAGATAAAATGTGCAATATAACATTCATGTAGACCCTAGCAATAATAAATAGGAAACCTATTTCTCCAGTGCCGAAAGCATAACCAATAACATCGGAGCTTATCGGAGCTACATTTCAGGAACCCTTTCCTGCAACAATACATGTAAATGCTCAGAAATAATAATAATAATATTACAATACCTGGCAGCTTGAATTAAACTGGTCATAATTTGTGCTTGGACTCTGAGATTCATCAGAATCTGTGTAGTCCACCAGGGAAGAATTCATCCCAACTTTGTTCATCAGAGGTAAGGGTTCTGGTTCGTCTAAGCCCTATATAACATCAAAGAAAGACATAATATATAAATGAAAACACACGTAGTATGTATACCTATGTACATCAAACTGCATTTCAGAAACATTGGAATCCCACACCTACTCTTCATATTTTTCAATAAAACCATTGGCTTGGTGTCCACAATATAAAAAATAATATGCATAACTGGCAGGGCAGAATGTACTTGTGACAGTCAATTGGTATGACTAGTATTGTTTATATGTTTCCTGTATCTGACTAAAGCTTGATTTATACTCCTGCATATGATCTACGTGCATAGCTACGCCGTAGGCTACGCATGTAGCCATGCATTTATTCTTGTGCGTCGGTGTCTCATCATTACTGTGTAAATGGGCAAATCTTTGGCTAAATAGTATGTGATAGCATTTGATTTCATTATGTCTCTTCAAGCTTGCGTCGTAGTACAACTAGCAAAAGAACTCGCTAGTGATGTTTGTTTGGCTAGCTCTCGCATGTTAACTGCGACAGCTTTGAAGCGTTTTTGTTAGGATAGTAGTACTAAAGTATGAACCAGTGAAAGCCGGTAAAAGAGAAAAACTAGTACCTGTGTCTAGAAGCAGGACGATCTCTGAGGAGTCTGCTCTGTTGTTCTGAAGAAGTCGGCCTCAGAAGATTCAGTGGCATCTGATTGTTTGTCAACCTTTAGACAGAAAAGAGTCATTACTGTAATCCAATGGCTACAATATTATTTAGTTACCATGGACCCCACAATGACAAGAGACCTGACAGGTGTGGTCAGCACTAAACACTGGTCTTATTAACTTGACTGGACCCCATTAAATCACAACAAAAAAAAGAATGTACAGAATTGACCTACGCCGTAGTAATTGCAAACAAAAGTTTCTGTACCAAATATTAAGTTCTGCTTTTCTGATGCATCACATACTTATGTCATGCAATAAAATGCAAATTAATTATTTAAAAATCATGTGATATTCTGGATTTTTGTTTTAGATTCCGTCTCTCACAGTTGAAGTGTACATATGATAAAAATTACAGACCTCTACATGCTTTGTAAGTAGGAAAACCTGCAAAATCAGCAGTGTATCAAATACTTGTTCTCCCCACTCTCTCTATCTATCTATGTTCTGCTGTAGTTTTAACACAGCTGTACCGTAACTTTAGTCCTGCTAGTGTTTACAGCTAACAGCTGATGAGAGTTGTTCTGGGTCTGCTCCACTTCACTGCCCTGACAGCCGAGTTACCTCCGAGGCAGTCTCCTCTCCAAAACAAATGGACCCAGAACAACCTGGCAGTGTTTGATGTCCTCATGTTTGTTTCTCTCTGTCTGCAGAAGATTATGTGTTAATATGTCTTTGTTCTTTTCTCTGTGCTGGAATCCTTTTAAGAACTTGATGGCTTTATCCAGATTAATATTAAATGTTTAAATATTATTAATTGTGCCCTTTAAGTTTATAACTTCAGTATATTCCCAGCAAATCTCATGTTAATATATAGATGTTATGTCATGGATAGGGACGTTAGGCTACTGTATGAATGAACACTTTAGATATATACTGATAGTAATTATAATTATATATATGTCTGGTGTGGTTGTATTGTGAAAATGGACAGATTTAGCCAGAGTAGTGGCGATTGAATATTGACAACATATTTCTGTGGTTTTTATATGGTTTGAACTTGGTTGTGGCCCCATAGAAAGATGATAGAGAATGAGGTGAATAGTGCATTATACCTTCAAATAGCCCTTTGAAGTTAAAATTGTTGCCAGTTAATTTTAATGTCAATCTAATACTTGTGTCAGGTGTACTTGCATAAAATGTTGGGTAGTTTAATTTATAATACAAGATATTTTTACTAAGTCTACATATGTGTAAAATAACTAATAATTAAAGCTGTCAGATAAATGTTAAGTAAAAAAGTACAGTACTCCCGCTGAGATGTGGTGGAGTAGAAGTAGAAAGTGGCATTTAAAGAAAAAACTCAAGTAAAGTACCAGTACCTCAAATTAGTACTTAAGTACAATACTCGAGTAAATGTTCTTACAGTAACTGAAGCCACTTTTTCAAAACTGTTAATACAGTCTGCATTACCAACATGCATCTTGGCCAAACAGTTCACCTCCAAAAGTCACTTAAACCACCAAAACACTTCATCGTAGTCTGAAAATAAACTCGTTCAACCAAAACACTAGTGACAATTCTCACTTAGAAAGCATTCATTGTTACTCATAGCACATTGACCTAAAAGACACTAACAGTGAGCACTACGTAAATGATAAACTTTTATCTTTGAAGTACGAATGATTTTTTCATATAAATAACTGTTTTATTATACAAGTACAGTACAATACAGTTTCTCTCTTTTCGCTTTTGAACATTCTCTCAAATAATTTCAGAATTGAAATTCTCAAAACTACTTGTTCAACCTCCACATCATCTAGTCACATCGTAAAAGCAATTTCTCATTCTTTTGAATGAATTGCAGAAATGCAGAAATGAGTTTCCATGTCCATTATTCTCTCTATATCCCTGCATATAGTAATTTAATTGTGAAAAATAAAAAGTTGAAAAATAAACTAATTAAACTAAATAAACTAAGGGTGCTTTCACACCTGTACTTTGGTTCATTTGGTCCAGACCACGTGAAAAAAATTATACTGTTGCATTTTAGTTCTAGTCCGGTTCATGTTCACACTGCAGTTTTACAGTTTTACAAACAAACCAAGAGAAGTAACCATGACGTCATGCAGACTTACAGGTAACTTATTGATTGGACAGCTTTGGCTATTGTCATCCTACATCATCAGGAGGAAATGAAACTCAGGGTAAATGGAGTGATAGTTGCCCTCCTTTTTTAACAGATTTAAACCTATTAATCAGGGAAAATACTTGCGCTGACAAGTACACGTTAGATCACTGAACACATTTCGCGGTTAGCGGATTTTATAGTGGTTTAGCTTTGGAAATAATGCTCAGATCACACACAGATCTCTGCTATCATAAAATCCTGTGTTTGGTTAGTTTGCTTTCACACCACAAGGGAACCGCACCTGAGTGTAATTGCTGCATTCACACTAGGGTTGGGCCGATAGACGATGGCTGACAGATGGTCGATGGTTGAGCAGGCATCATGATTGTAAAACCCCGTCCCCTGATAAAAAATCACAATTTTTCACATAATACCGCCATGTGAAAGTAGGTTTTAATCACCAAAAACATTATTATTATACATTTTAAATATGCTTCGCACCTTCCTCGGAATTCTCTTCTCCCCTCACTCAGACACACTGACACACAAGAGGCCTACACCTCAGTTAAACACACCGGCTTGCCCCGCCTCTCTCTGTCTCCCCCCTCGCCCGTCTGCTCCACCTTCTCCATCAGCAGTAAGTTTTATAAAGTCGCCTAAAAGACACAGAACTTGTCTTTTTGAATCACGGCAGCAGGTGAGCCACTTGTGGGCTTGTTAATGATGCAGCCTATCAAACAACCAAACCCAACATCTGCACCCTGTGTTCAGTGATGCTTTACGTGGTCCGTGCTTGTAATGTCATAGGCTACCAAGCATTTAACCGAGTAAAGTCTGTGCGACAACACATGCGCATAAGCCCGCTATTCCCCGTGTGCACCCCCAATGCCATCGTCCATCCCGATTTTTCAATGTAGACATTGTCCGATGGAAATTTTGTAGGCATCGCCCAACCACAATTCACACCTGCCCAAACGAAGGGGGAAAACGAACTGTAGTGCGATTCAACCGAATTAAACAACGCTGTGTGACAGCACAGTCCACATACACTTCTGTTTCGCTGACTGTGCGAAGAATTTTGACAATGTGACTTCAGATTTGACCAATGCAGATTAGCAATTGAAAAAAACTAATCACTGTCCACCACTGGTAATTGTAATACTACATATTTGACTCTGTTACACATATTACTGCTGTATAATTGACTCTGTTACACCAGCTGTGACAGCTTGGGAGAAATATTGCCACCTAGGTATCATAGCCTGTGTAAGGAGGGATGGGTGGTGGTAGTACTGTAGGACTAAAGCTCTTTTTGGAGAGTGGTAACAGTGTTCATTTGGAGCAGTTAATGGTTTTTTAAAATAATTTTCTGGATATATATTGTAGTTTCATGGTAGTGGACTTAATTGGTTCTGTAAGTACAGTAAGATGTCATCTCACTGTTTCCTTTGTTACAGACTTTGTGTTAGATGCAGGCCATCTTCTCAGGCTTCTGGCTGTACATGTAGGTCTGTCCCTTTGTTCTCATGATGAGAGGTTCCAATAACAATGTAAAATATTGTCCCAATTTGTGATTCAGAGTTTCAGTATATTTATCATCAGTGTGCTTCTTTCATATCAATTGTGTGGTGACCTGGATAACATTGTGTTTGTGGTTTGGGGGGCCTGGGCTGCATGCCAGCTGGACCTTCAGCTCTCCTGGGTTTTAGAGAAAGGTTGAGTGAAGAAGAGACAGAATATGTGTGTGTGAGGGAGGAAGTCCAGCAGACAACCCTAATTGATCTCCTCCACCCCAGTTACCACCCTATCCCAGTCATGGGTTTGTATCCTCTGGGTCAGTGGTGCACAGAATTTTATATCTGTCTTCATGAAAGTGATCAAATATGGCCTGAGTTATAAGTGGAATCCAATGAATGTGCAGAATGAATCCAATGAATTAATGCCGCCTGCCACCAAGCTTTGTGTAAGATTATTGCATAACAGCATTTAGTGGCACAATAAGAAAGACAATGGCTTAAAATGACTTTACATACATATAAAATAGTTCCAAACAAGCTCGTAAAGAAAATAAATCCCAGGAAAATGCTGTGCAAGATCACAGTTCTTTAAATTGTCAAAGCAACAGACTCACTATCCCTTAGTCTCTCAGCCTCACCCTGCTCTTTTACCTCTGTTCCTAAAACTGCGACTCTCCACAATTTCCCTATTACAGCTGTTGAAGGTCTGCACTCTTTGGCACCTCAGGAGAACACAAAAACATCTGCCAGCACCACAACTACAATCAAGGCTACCCAATGCCCACCCACACTTTCTGTTTCTACTCAGTCTCAGTGGGGTGGACTGCCTCTACGCTAACATTTGCCCCCAACGGGCATTGGCACATGTACTAATTCAAGCAGATGCATGGGCCTTATCAAAACACAATCACTTTCACCTTGAGGGAGTGGCATTGTTACAGCGTTTAGGAAAGCTACAACTATCACATAGTGGTTGAATGAAGGCAAATTCACAATTTGGATCTCAGTCAAAGTGGAAGCAAGCAGTCTTCTGTTGGATTTGCCCAGGCATAACCAGTTAACACATTGGTAGCCACAACCATTTTCTCATGGATGTCTGAGGGCTGATGCAGGGAGGGAAATATAGCCATAACTCTAAGAGGTATGAAAGTTTTTTTTAAGGGGGGCTAGGTTCTCCTTCTGCAGGTGATACTACTTTGCTGGTAGTATGTCACCCTCCATGCAACATCCTGCTGACCTCTTGGTACCTAGAACTCATGGACACAAATCTATAAGTAAATTTGATGGGTGAGAGGGGCGATCATCTTCCCAGACACAACCTGAAGAACAACATGTTGGGAACAAAATGTTCAGATCACTGTTCACATCTTGGCTTCAATAAGGACCAAGGACACATGCTTTGCTATTAAAG